ATTCATGCTGACTGTTCTTAATCACCTTTTTCTCCCCCAAGTGTTTAGAAATGGATTCCTTGAGGATCTGCTCCATGATTTTTCCAGGGACTGAGGTGAGGTTGATTGGTCTGTAGTTCCCTGGATCTTCCTTTCTCCCTTCCTTAAATATGGGCACTATTCCCTTTTTCAATCATCTGGGACCTCTCCTGATAGCCATACCTTTTCAAAGATGATGGCCAATGGCTCTGCAATCTCATCAGCCAGCTGTCTCAGCACCTTTGGGTGCATCTCATCCAGCCCCAGCTTGGACTTGTATAAGTCCAGCCTTTCTGTATAGTCCCTAATCTGTTCTTGTGCCACTGTTGGCTGCTCACCTCCTCCCCAAACTGTGCTGACCATTATATTCTTCTGGGCTAAGTACAGACTTTAAAAAAGCCTGAGCCTGAATCAATGAAACTATGAAATTCAATCTTTGCAGTTTAGTTTAACCTGTGTAGATTGAATTGATAAAAAAAGTAAATAGGCATTGACTGTTGATACTGGAAATGCAGCCACATGCCTGCAGTGGCTAAGGGCAGGGACCAGGGGGTGCTAGAGTGAGCCATCCTTTCTGCAGTGGCCAGAGGGCTGGAGGACAGCTGAACTGAGGGGGGGGGGTGGCCAGGCCCCAGCAGCCTATGTATTATTTTTGGAGGGGTTTAAATCCCCACCCTGGCCTTCATGGTTTCCAGCAGGGGTGTGCCTGGAGGGGGAGGGGGGAAGCAGCTCTTGCCAGGCTTTTCCAGGTGTGGGGGGGTGAGTATGGTCAGACCCCAGTCCCCACCTTGCACCGAAGAGTCAAGCAAGGGCATTGGCAACATGTAGGGGGTGCATGTGGGGGCACATACACCCCCTCAACTTGGTGGTGCATCTCCCCAGCCACTCACCACCCCCTTCCCCCCTCACCACTGACACTGCCGGTGGAGTCTGCGGGAGGTCTCCAATTGCTGGTGGCGTCTGCTGCGGGTGGTCGCCGAGCACCAGGTGGCGCTTGCCACCCCCCCCACTCGACCACCAACACCGCTGCGGCTGCCTGTGAGATCTCCCCGCTCACTGCCGCCACACCGCTGACACCACTGCTGCTGCCTGCAGGCTGTTGCTGTGCCTCCCCAGCCTCTGGGGGCACGTGGTGTTCATGAGCAGGAGCATGGCCAGACCTGAGCCTGTGGTGAAGTGGGGAGGGAAGTGGGGGAATCACAGAGAAGTGGGACTGGGAGGGACCTCCAGAAGACCTCTAGTGTCTAGTCCAGACCCTGTCTGAGCCCTGGCCAGACCCTACTGTACGAGCACGATATAAAGAGCAGAGTGTTTGCTCACAGCACTCATGACTGAGAACACCTGCCGGGGGGGCTCTGTACTGCTGAGGGGAAAAAAAGCCACCAAAAGCTTCCTGCGGCTGGTTTTCCCCCCCTGCCCCACAGCAGGGCCCAGCACTGCACCCCTCCAGCCCTGAGTCCTGAGGCAGTGCTGGGCGCAAGAGAGCTGGGAGCAATCCGGGCACACAGCTCCCATGTCCCCAGCCTGAGATGTGGCAGGTGAGGAGGAAGGGGGACCCTTTCCTGCCTGCTGCAGCAGCTACATGACAGGGCCATCCCATCCTGGGCATGGGGAACAGGGAGTAATCTGGGCACACAAATCCTGCAGCCCCAGCCTGAGCTGGAGCCGGCTGGGAAGGGTCCTGCTCTTGTGGCCTTGCCTGCCCTTCCAGGCCTACCCTCAGTGGTGCCTGTAGGCTGGGCTGGCTCATCCCTGCAGCCCCAGCCCCAGGCGAGGCAGGTGGATGGCGAGGCTAGGCTGAGCCATGGGGGAAGGGCCCTTCCAAGCCAGCTGCGGCTTGGGCTGGGGCTACAGGAGCTGTGTGCCTGAATTTCTCCTGGCTTCCTATGCCTAGGCCAGGCTGGGTTGTCCTGGAGCTGCTGCCATGGGCAGGGCTCTCCCCCTCCTTATCGTCATCCACCACTGGGCCAGCGAGGATTCTGTGTGGTGCTGTCTTGGGACACAGGGCTCCAGGGGTGCAGCGCTGGGCACAGCTTTGGGACAGAGGAAAACTGGCTGCAGGAAGCCCTTGGTGGCTTTTCTCCCCAGCAGGTGTTCTCAGTTGTGAGCACTGTGAGCAAACCGTCCACTTTTTAGGTTGTGCTCGTATGGGAAGGTTTGGCTAGGGCTCAGGCAGGGTCTGGAATAGACATCTGGAGGTCCCTGCCAGCCCCAGTCCTCTGTGATTCCTCCCCCTTCTACCCCACTTCACCTCAGGCCTGGGGCTGGGGTCTGGCCATGCCACTGCTCTTCTGCTCAAGCAGCAAGTGGCAGGGAAGCTAGGCAGACCCTAGCTGGGGTCCCTCACTGATGGGAGATGGGAGGGAGGGGGGAATAACCCCCCTTTACCCCTCAAGCGACCGATGTCTGGCCACCACCCCTGCTTCTGCCTCCTCGAGTTGTGAGGATGGCGCTCTAGAGCTTCAGAACTCTACAGATGCAACTTACCAAGCTTGGAAAGGCAGAGCAGCTGTCAATCATACAAAGCTAAGGCACTTCAGTCAACTTATTCAGTAACTGATACTCCCACAAGCTATGATATTTCTTAGCTGAAGACTAAGTGGCACTAGAGGTGTGGAATTCTTTTAGACCTTTTGAAAACGTCAAAGAAAATCAAGAATACATTTCAGTCTGATCCATACAACTGAAAACTATATTCTAAGGGAAACCAACGGGCAAGGTATGAACAGAAGTAAGAGCCAGCTTTTGGGCTAGGTACAGACATTCAAAAAACGCGACGCGGAATCAGTCTAAGTTGGATAGTTTTCTGTAAGCAGTGTAGTTTAGATTGGTAACAAACAGAACAAACATTCACCCTTTGGTGGGAGGGGCAAATTTTAGACCAGGTTCCGCCATTTTTAGATCCTCCTGTGTTTACCAGACTTCTGTTCTGTATGGGTATAGACCACTTTCCAATCGCTTATACTGGTAAAAATGTAATGTCTATACCTGGCCTTGTAAAGTAAGATTTGATCTCTTGCAAAATCATACTGCAGAAAGGATCAGTAAATCTAAATACCACTGTAATTACTACTTTATTTTATTGAAGTAGCAGAATTGAAGGCAGTGGAGGCTCTGTGACTATCAGAGGGGGAACTGCTTTTTCCCTCAGGGGTGGGGGAACTACTTTTCAAAACTAAAATGAAAGTAACCCTTTTAAAACAGGAAGTACTTTCTTGAATCTTTAAAAACACTTTTCATTTTTGACCTAGGTAGGGCCTTGTCACCACTTGCAACAGTTGCAAATTGTTGGAATGTAGCGACCTATTAAAGTTAGTATATGCTAGCAGATGACCCTTGCTTTAAAATGAACAACTTTGCAATGCCTCAAGGTTACTTAACAGGTGCTTATACTGCTTGAACATGCATCAATTTGTTTTTAAATTGCATTTAATAAGTGTTAAGTTGAACGTATGACACTCCCTCACACAATTTCTTCTTGTGGCTTTAGGGAAGAAAGTACCGAAATACCTGCAAAAGATATTTATTGCATATGACTTCTAGTTTGATTTAGAATCAAGAAGATTAAATTATTTTGGATTCCTGTCTGAACATCTGCACCTTTTTAGATTCTTGCACCCTTAGAATAAGAACTTTTTAGAAATTTGAAAAACCTGAAGATACACGAGACAAAGGTTAATATCTTCATTTAAATCCCAGCATGTGAGGAGTTGTTATCTAGAATAAACGGGGAGAAAAATTGGGCTTGCTACCTTTCCTGTATTATTCTCCAGTTTAAATGCAAAACCCCGAGAACACCAGTAATTCTCTTGACATTTAGTATTAAAATGTGTGGCCTTTTTCTCATTTGTATTTTAACTGTGGGAAGTAGGGAAGTTTGGATCACTGTATTTAGCTAGAGATGGAAAAAAAGTCTTGGAGGGAACATATTTAATTAGTTTTAGTTCATAAACTTATAGAATTGCTTGAAAATCTTCAACAAAGTTGTTCTTATTCTCAGTTTATTGCTCTAAATTTGAGGAAGACATTTAATTCTTATATAAAACAAAGAAATTGTATATTAGCTTAAGTGAAAAATAAACTCATCACAACTGTATACCCACTCTAGAATAAACCAAAAATTTTAAAAGTACACTATGAATTTGTTATGAGGCATTATGATACTTTGCTACTAACTTGCTGCGTGACCTTCAGGGTCAATTCTCCTGTGTGAGCCTCTTTTTCCGCCTGTCCTTTGCTTGCTTTATCTCTTGTAAGTTTTCTGAGGCTGAGACTGTATTTTACTATGGTTTTTTTTTTATAGTGACTACAAGCATGGGATGCTGATTTTAGTGTGCGTCTAAGTGTTAACATATTATCAATAATAATTAGAATCTAGGTGAACTAAGAGCACATATTTAAACATATTTGTCTGCTCCTGTATACCCTGTCCAGAAAGACCATGTGGAAGTGCATTCAAACCTTAAGCAAACTCATTTTAAAATGAATTGTAGCCTTGTACAGAAAAGCAAGTTTACTGTAGGGCAGTGGTCCACATCCTTTGCTGGCCCGTGGACAAGAGCACTGAACAAATAATACGTAAATGCTGCCACTGCAGACATCAGCTTACATACTTGCCTGTCCCTTTTAGCATTAATTCTTAACATCTTGTGGTTGCAAGCAATATTAGAGGGTCTCATAGTTAACACATGCCCTGGAAACCTAGGTTGGGGACCACTGCATTAAGGCTTTAACTACTCTATTTGTGTTCAGAAAGTCATTCAGCAACAGTGCTAGGTTAGGCTATTTTCTCAGTATTGCCTACAGTTGCACTGACCAGGATGAGAAGACAGGGTGATCCCTGGCTAATTCCCATCATTGCTCTCATTGGCATGACATTTCCTGAAACTGACAAAGTAGACAAAGCTGTGATGATCTAAGGCACTTACAACAGTTTACTTTTTTTTTTTTTTTTTTTTTTTTTTTTTTTTTTTTTTTTTTAGGTGCAAAAACCTCACAATTCCTGACAGCCTTCCTGAGGTCAGCATTGTTTTCATATTTGTTAATGAAGCCCTGTCAGTGATTCTGCGCTCCATTCATTCTGCTATTGATCGGACTCCTCCCCACCTGCTCAAAGAAATTATTTTAGTTGATGACAACAGTAATAATGGTAAGGACTGTTTGTAGTGCACTCTTTTTTCATACATGCTGGCTTATGTATAAGAAGTAAGGCATTTCTCTTCATAAATTTTGGATCAGAGGTGCCCCAATAAGATTTCAAATGATGTATTTGGGAGATACTGTAGTACTTTTCTGCATCTTCTTTTGTAATTCCTTAGCATTAGTCTAGGGCAGCAGCCCACAACCTTTGCTGGCCTGTAGACATGTTTGTCTTCAGGACTAGGTGCAGACATTCAAAAAGCCTGAGGTAGAATCAATCTAAGCTATGTGGTTTTCTGTATGCGGTGTAGTTTAGAGTGGTAGCAAACAGAACGCACATCCAGTGTGCTTCTTTGGATGGGGGTGGCAAATCTTAGACCAGATTCCACCATTTTTAAACCAGTCTGTGTGTGCTGAACTTCTGTTTTGGGTATAGACCAGTAAAAGTGTAATGTCTGTGCCTGGCCCAGATGTACACAAGTAGGTCAAGTTGAGAACAGAGACAGAATGGAACATTAGTCCCTGATTTTAATCACATTAGTTAAAACAATGGAGATGGGAAATTTGGAAAGGGTTTTTTTTTTTAATGTTTCTTACTACTCTGCTCTGCTGTCAAGCATGCCTACCTTCTCCTGCTTCCTTCTTATTCCTTATGCACTTCCAGTTTCAGCTGTATTCTCACTCACCCTCTATTCTGTATAAGGCCTCTCTTTTTCTTTTTCCTCTTCTGTTCTTGGCTGCTCTATCACAACTTGCTAATTTGTTTTTTTTTCCCCTTCTGACTGCCAATCTAAACCTTATTGTTTGTTGCTCACCTGGTTTATATCTCCACATGGACATTTCTCCCTGCTGGTTGAGGAACAGGGCCTGTTAGTTTCTGCTGAGCTCAGTGCTTTGCTTAGATGATTTTCACTGGGACCACGCTGGGCATCACTTACAAGTTTTACCTGCTGGCACCATCACAAATGAAATTTTAAATTATCTTCACGTGGGACACTGAGCTTCCTGAAAGCTTTGGCTCTGCTGGGAGTTAATATTGAACTCATAAAATAGAAGTACAATCAAAATGTGTTCTGCTGAAGAGAAATGCTGAACAAAGAGCTTTTCCTCTATCCCTACCCTCCTTACAAGTGTTACATGATTGGGTTGCTCCATGCAAGGACATACCTTCTGGTCATCACTGTGCCTCTGGTCTTCATAAAAACAAAGAATTAGTGCAGTGATTTTCAACCAAGGGCACTGTGACACCCTGAGGTGCCTTGAGATCCTTTCTCAAGTGCCACGGGGCATCACACAATGTTAGTACATTAGGTGTGCAAACATGATTCACAAGATAAACCCAGAGATTTCAGATAAGTATCAGTAATGTTAAAAACATTCTTACCTGTTGTGATCTTTGTGAGTTCTTTGCAATGGAAGAATTGATCTATTTTTTTTTGTAGTTAAAAAATGAGTAAAAACTAGAGCTGGCATTTTCCAAAGGGTCTGCTGAGTCTATTGAGGGGAACTTTGACTCTGTTGAGGTTGAGAGCCACTGACTTAGTGGAATTCAAAGCAAATAAACTTCCCTCCTCAGATTGTAAGTCTCTTACCCCTCTTCTTTTTGTAAAGGAAAAAACTCAAATTGTAGTTCTGGAAAATATGCATACAATGCAGCAGTTTGATTTAGGCTCCTTGTACTGCAGGTGTACAAGGATATGTGTGAATCTAATTCCAATTCCAGTGAATTATACTGCACTTAGCCAACTGAGCCTAACCAAGCTTTCTTAAAACCCCGACTCATGGAACAGTATGGGCAAGATGGCATGCAGGATTTATATGGTGGTGTTCTTGGTTTATAGCACAGTACAGGATGTAGCAGTGCAATGGAGTAGTAGAAATTCACATGTAAAAAAATAACAAAATGTGAGAGAACTAAATACATTTTAAAAAAAGTTGAATGATCCAGAAAATTCTTGTGAACTAGGGCAGGATCTTTGACTGTCATTATTATGGGTTGCTAGATATTTTCTATCATATGACTGTGGAGGTATTCTCATTCCCCTGTAATTATATTTTCTTGTTTTTCCATCGTTCTTTTCTTTTGAGGAGTCAAATGGAGGTAAAAAAAAAAAAAAAAAAAAAAAAAA